TGATCTATGTTGCTTTCCCGTCTCTGCCAGTTGCAAAACAACAACGTGCTTCTCTTCAGTTTGTGAAGTGATGGGGAACCGCTGCCCAAAATCACTTGGCAAAGATAGCACGGTATTTTGTGAGGGCTATGCTAGTTAGACTTTGAATGGACCGGAGTCCTTAAAAATTTCGAGTTAATTGGGATACATACGTGAGGTAGTATCGGCAAAAGTATGGGGTCCTACATTTCAAAAATCATGCTAAAACGTATACATTTAAAGAGTTTGATACTCAATTTTTTGCTAAGTCGGGTCCTCTCCTCAAAGGCTCCCTCTGCCCGCTGGCGATGCATGTCCATCATGCTTGGGAATTTGGATAGACGTCGCTTAATATCGTACTTATAGTTTCTTATTACTCAATCATCATGTTCAAACTTATGTCACTCACATATGATGCGCTCATCGCGAATATACTGCTCGGGAATTATCTTTCGGTTCTCGAAGTACACTCTTTATATTGGTTTGTATAGGCAAGTACTTCGAGTTATGGATGCTCAAGATTGATTTTGGTCTAATGGGGTATGTTGTACTCTTATGTTTGAGGACATAATGAGTGGCTAATCTAACTTGATCAAAAAGTGTATCATTAAAGGGAGCAATGGCATTGCTTAAACTAACAAAGTTCTTGATCCTAGCTTAATGGAACTTTTCTCTTTTAGGTAGTTAGGCTCTCCTTTCGTCGGTTAGTTGTGAAGGACCCTACAATAAGGCAAGGCAAAATGGGGGAACCAAATCCAGCTTGATTCTGCTGACCGTACCCATATAGTGTAATTTGCACACTAGCTGACAAAATCACACCTAATAATTTATCATCTAGGACCGTTGTAGATTTCAAAATATTCAGCAAATATATCATAGGTACGTTTGAATTGAAGATTTAAGAATATGAGAAAACAAATGAGATTACTCTTTCTAAGATCCATCAAATCCTCCATTAACAAAGTGGTCACATGCCCCATCAGAAATAGATAATTAACAATTACCTAACAACCAATTTCCAACAACTACACTATCCCAACATTAAAGAGAAGAGTGAAAGCCTCTGAAAATGAAGTAATTCAAGGTCATCATCCTATCGTTTCATATCATTCGACTGTACTATAATCGTCATTCGTTTCAATTATAGTGTTGCAAATTGTGCTTCATCCCCGAAAAAACCATTTCACTTTATGATATTTTCCAAGATAATATAGTGAGCATAGACAAATAAATAGATAAAAAGATTTACCACCACACCACCACCAAAGTTGGTGCCTTTAGGCACAAATTTCACACACTATGATCATTCATCACCATTACCAACTAACAACAACAAACCATTCTCATCACTACTTAGTGAAAAGGTAAAAAGATAACATAGAAAAGTGGAGATTGATGATTCAGTCATCCTCCACAAAAGGTAAAAAAAAATCAAACACCCTGTTCTTCCTAAGCAATTTTAGAAGCAACCCAGAAAACAGAGGAAAGGGAAAAGACCATGGCGACAGCAATCTGTAATTACTAATTTCCCCCTTTCCCCCACCAAAAAAAGGGGGAAAACTGGGCACCAATCTTGGAAAGAAACTAATCTACGCTTCCCAATTGAAACCGATTCAGCATTTTTCAAGTGACCAAGTAAATGGGCAAGGCAGAGGTAGACATCCTCTGCTGCTGCCGCTCCATATTAAGCTCCCTGAGGCTCACATACGGCAAATCGATGTCCCCTTTGACCGCCGGCGACAGAGATCCGGCGAGCGGGCCGGAGGCAGGCCGGCTCGTCGTCGTCCGGTACGGCGTGTTCGACCCGCTCCGGCTCTCGGTTATGTAATAAACGGGTCCCGACATCGTCGCACGGAGAGCTCGAGCCCTGGCTCTGTGAACATCATCTCCTTCTCCTTCCTCTGCTTCAAAGGCTTCAAATTTGGGATTGGTGTGAGCCCATTTCAGCTTGAAGAAGACCAGCGCGTTCTTCCACCACCGCTTCTTGATCTTCGCCTTGTTGGACCGGGTCGCCTTCAGGGATTCGTCTCTGGAGAGGGGCTTCTGGAGCTTGAAGTGCAGCGTGTCGATGGAATTTGCTGCGGTGGTGGAGTTGAGCTTGTGCTTCTTCGCTTCTTCTAAGAACTGGGGAAAACAGAGTAAAGCAAAGAAAGAGAAATCGTTGGTTAATGGATTTTCTCTGTAGGAAAATCGAAGGTTTTGACAAAGATGGAGACTTTGTGGAAATGGGTGATTGTGATGATGGATTTTACCTGGAAGTAGTCGATTTGAGGGTCGAAGCCATAGTCGCTGAAGTGGTGAGGCTCTGTTGGCATGGGGAAAACAGGGGATTTGCTTTTGCTTGCCATTTTTCTGTTTTAGCTTTACCCTTTTTTTTCCTCTCCTTTTGAGCAGAGCTTTTATATAATGGGTTTCGGCCTTTCGGGTGAGTGGCTCAAGGTCAAGGGAAGGAGGAATGGCCCCGTTGGTTTGGAACTTGACAAAACCCTACTCGCTAGAACTGAGCTCTGAGGGTCGTTTTATATTTATTTATCCAACGGTTGGTTTGGTTTCTTCTTCTTCTTGTCTGTTCCAATTTCTGTGCAAGACTGTAACTGAGTTATTTTAATGGCGATGGGTATTTATTATAACGCACGCCCCTCTTGTCTGGATGGGCATGAGGTATGGACGTATGGAAGGAATAATGGTGGTGAGTTAAGGAAAGGTAATTACGCGGCAGAATTATTGTGGCAGGGAAACATTTACTAGGTGAAAAATTAGTGGGATTGATAATTGGGTGTATAATTAATTAATTAATTAATTATACCTTTGTAATAAATCAAGGATGGATTGCATTGCATATCTTTAAGGTTGTCAAACCGCGGGTCGACCCGGACCCGGATGAGCTAGTGGGTCATGGGTCAATGGGTCACCCGTTTTAGCCCAGTTTAGCCCGGTTTAGCCCGGAAATATGGAAAATGTAATTATATTATACTTATCCTGAATCCAACATAAAAAAAATATAACACTACTTCAACTCCAACACACTTAAATAACATCAACTTAAATTCAACATAGTAAAAATTCAACAACACTTAAATCATTCACAAAACATCACATATATCTTTCGTTCCATTTATTGGAACCAAGTCCCAAACCCTTACCAAATGACTATGACTGAGGGAACTAAAGGTAATGAAGAGGCTCGGGTCGCAAATAATGAAAAAGAGCAACCCGCTCCAACGGGCTAACCGGCCGGGCCAACCCGGGTTTGACCGAGTTTCTCCGGATTTGACTATTTCCGAGCTGATATGAAAATGGGTTGGTATGACCCGTTTTTTTGCCCGGGTCCGGGTTAATCCGGGTCAACCCGCGGGTCGACCCGCGGGTTGACAACCTTGATATCTTCCAATCGAAAAGTGGCGAAGGACAAAACAACGTGGGAGCGCAGTGCCTGAATTCACCGTAAAAAAACATGGTCCTTGAAATCGTACCGGAGATCGTATCGTAAAAGTCAGCAGTATAGTATTTTATGGTAAAACCGTGGTTTAACCGTAGTTCAACCATAGTATCGTTAAATATCGTCTATCGATTTAGTCTATAATACTGATATTTCGTGGTTGAACCGTCGGTACGGTACGATTTCATGGAGAAAGAGAGGAAGCAACTGATCAAATCACTTATTTGACCATCGGTCCAAATGATAGAGAAGCATCCTTTTTTCCCCTGAGGTAGTTCTCGTGAGCTTTCCTTAAAGACTGTGCCTCAATGAAGAGGATTAATGGCGCACCAGCAGCGGCAGCTGCCTGCCGTTGCCTTGCCGGAACTGCTCTGGAGAGTGCAGGGGACACCGGACACTCCTCCGTCGGCTTCTTCTTTCCTATTAATAAATTTTGGGGCAAGTGGAAGCGAGCTAGAAAAGTTGTGTCCCTATTTCCACTTCCCCTTTTTACTCGCACTGTTGTGTTCTCCTCTTTCTGGTCAAACCGCGCATGATAATAAGTTCAGTGGCTTTCTTGGAATTGTCAGAAAGAATATATTACGGGTTTTCTGCTCCTATAAATAGTAGACGCTCTATAATTTTTTAACACATCTCAAAAGAGCAGAAAACGAGAGAAAGAGTGAATTTATAGAGCTTCGGTTTTCGCACAAAACCGATGAGCAGCAAATTAGAATGATTTTTTTTATCCTAGAGGCAACCGACTGATAGTCTGCTGTATGAATTACGAAGCAGTGCCGCGAACGTCTTAAAGAGAACGACCTAGTCCGCGACTCAACCAGATTCGGTAATCCTAATTTTTCCTGTTCAATTTCTAACGGAATGTGTGGTCAATTACACGGATGGTCATTGTATCTTGGAGGAATACCGTGGCAATGAATTGGATTGGTTTGGATTTGCGGTAAAAATTTCAGTAAAATATTAATCAGATTTTAGAAAAGAAAATTCAATCATAAACGACTATAATTAATTTTCTTTCCAGGCTACCAATATCTCCATAGACCACAAGAATGGTGTTTACGGATCAACGTGGGCTAGGTTGGGAACTTGGGCTCATAATTGAAGTCTGGATTTTCGGCCTGACTTTCAGGCCCATAACCTGACCCATTATTGCATTTCAGCCATTTAAGGCTCCAGGCTAGACTTTAGAGTTCACGACGCCCAGCTTCATCTCCATGGAGAGACTAAATCGAAAGTTCATACCGAAATGAAACCTTACTTAACCACCTCTGTAGAATAAAAGAATTGTCGTTTAGTAGATAGCATTATCATACTTATACATTACAGGTCTAGAAATGCATGTTAAAGAATTAATTAAACCTTATAAATTTGCAACGATCCAAAATTTTATATTGGTACATGCATTTATACCAACAAGCGGTTACAGGTTACGGTTCGAGATACAATAATCTTGCATGATTCAAACATTTAATTTCAATCCACCAAAAAATACATTTACGAACTGAAAGATTAAATTACATTTGATCCTAGTCACATGGTCGATCTATACTCGATAGGCGAAGGCCAATCTGATTTCGTTGCCCATACTAACAAAGAAAAACCTCCGGTCTGCATAAACATCTTCATTCTTGGAATACGGCAACCGAATCGGTCTCTCTGTCATCGGCGTATTAACCCGAACGTGATCCCGATGACCGTCATAGTACGCCAACATCGTCACCCCACCTTCGCGATGAAGTGCTTTCGTAAACCACCAATTGTTCACGTCGAATTGCCCAACAATGCGAGTTTCGACATGCACCAATGGCGGCAGCAACGACCTTGCAGTCATCTCCTCGTTCACCAATAAAGCTATTTCACAAAATGGATTTAGCTGTCCATCCCTCATCTTGGGCACGTAAAAATAACGGTACCCAGAGTACGTATCGATGCCTTCACACCGGAACGTTTCTGGTGGCACGGGGCGTCTTTGCCTTGAGTGGATTTGCCACTCCTCCTGGTTCATTGAGAGCTGAAGCTCCAAGAAGATTTTAGTTTTCCTAGCTGAATCCGACCATGAATTCTCACAGCATTGCTCTAGTTCTTTCTTGACGCGTGCAATGTCGGCTAAACTTGAGGATAGTTTTTCTCTAAGCTCTTCAAGTTCGTCACATTTCTTCATCTTTCTCAAATCTTGCACTTGCTCTTCCTCTTCCCTCATTTTGATCTCCATCTCATCAGCCACCTGCCTTAGCTTAAGCAATTCATCATCTCTCTCGCCCAACTGTCGTAATGTGTCGTCGATTTTTTTCTTCTCAATTGCCTTGTTTTCTTCTTCATCTTTGTTCCTTCGTAGTTTTTCCATATCCTCATCCTTTTCTCGAGTTAGTTTTTGAGATTCCTCGACCTTTTCCTTCTGCAACTTTTGCGAAATAGCTTCACCATCCTTCACCTTCTTAAGAGCCTTCAATTCGTCATCCTTCTTCTTTAGTAACTTTTGCAGCTCCTCTTTCTCATTTTCAATCTTTTCCACTTCTTCGTCCTTCACCCTTATTAGCCTCTCTGTCTCTTCTTCCATCTCATCCCTAAGCTTTTGCAGCTCCTCGTCCTTCCCCTTTTTAATTATTTGCAATTTGATTTCTTTCTTTTGTAATAGCTTTCGCAACTCCTCGTCCTTATCCTTTCTTAGCTTTCGAAGTTCGTCGTCCTTCTCATTCAGTTTCTTCATAGTTTCTTCTTCCATCGCCTTTTCAACCTCCTCTGCTGCTTCATCCTTCTGCCTCCTCAACTTCTCCATCTCCTCCTCCATTTCGATCCTTAGCTTTCGCAGTTCTTCATCCTTCTCCTTTCTAATTTTTTTCAAAGTTTCTCCATCATTTCCTCCCTTTTTGAGCACTTGCAGTTCACCGTCTTTTTTCTTTATTAGTTTTCGCAGCTCCTCATCCTTTTCTTTCCTCAACTTCCTCAGTTCTTCATTCTTCGCTTCACTTGCTTTCTCCATCTCCTCCCTTAAGTTTTGCAACTCCTCATCTCTTTCTTCGCTCAGCTTCTGCAGCTCGTCGTCCATCTCCTCCCTCAACTTCTCCAACTCCTTATCCTTCTCTTTCACCAACGTCTTCAACTCGTCATACTTCTCCTTGCTAACTCCTCCCTCTACGGTGGCTGGTCTCGATGGGTTCCCTTGCTTTGGTACGACGTACTTCAACTTCAATCGCGGCCACACGGTGGTCGTGACGAGATTAACGCCATGACGAGACCAATCGAACTGATCATTCAATCGCAGGTAGTGAACCCCGAAGTCCTTGTACTCGCCTAGCTCGGCCGCGTCCTGGAAACAGTATCCTCCGGGGCTCACCATCAAGTGTAGACGTGTGAGGTGTTGGGCTAGCTTGGTCAACGCCTCCCGCCCCTCTATCTTCCCATGGCCATCAAAGAACAACAACCCATCATAGCAGTGCTCCTGCAGTTGGCTCTCAGCAGCTGCATCGTCATCGTCGTCGTCACTGCCATCGTCACGAGAACTGATGATACTCACTATTTCCCTCCAATGAGTTTTTCGAATGGAAGAAGGAGAAGTAATAGGGTGGCTCAATTGGTAGACTTTGAGGTTAGTTCTGTCGGAGGAAGCAACGAAGTGCTTGTCTGACTTGAAATCAAAGAGACGAACCATGGTAGCTAGCTAATATCTTCTATCCGAAATGGGGGATGAATCGAATAATGATATAGGCTACTAGCAGGGATAGATAAGGGATGCAAGTGTGGTAGGTAGCTAGCTAGACAGGACGTGTACATATATAACAACTTGTGTTATGTCTGGATCTCCCACCTACCGCTCAGCTTAACAAACATTGTAATAAAATATATGCGTCATTTGAGCAGCTAGAATTGAATTTGATTGTATGTTTGACCATATTGTGGTCTTATTTTAGAGTAATTTGGTACCGCGTAATTGCATATTGTGGTCTTATTTTAGAGTAATTTGGTACCGCGTAATTGCATATTGTGGTCTTATTTTAGAGTTTAAGGTTTGACTAATGTAATGATTATCTAAAAAGCTACATATATCACAACTTGTGAGAAAGAACAAAAGTGGTTAGTATGATAATTAGTGGTGCCGCCAGACTTTCAGTTTATAGGGGTATTTAAAAATTTAGGAGTGTTTCAAATGGTCACCGTGGTAATAACCAAACCAATTAAGTCTAAATTTCACGGAATAAAATGTCTTAACCAAACCGTCCAAATTAACACAAAATCAAATTAACCAAATCAAAGTTTAATTGGTTTGGTTAATCGGATAATCGGATTAACCAAATAACATAACATGAAAACAATTATCCTGTTAATGAATAGAACATAACCATTACTATCATAAACTATCATTATATATAAGCAATAATAATAAGGGTGTGCCTATGGTGACATGCATGTGCATGTCACGGTGACTTGCACTTTCCGGTCGACCTCAGTTAGGATCCGGTCGACCTCTAATAGGGTCCGGTCGACCTCATTTAGGATTCGGTCGACCTCATATAGGATCAGGTCGACCTAATCTGTTGTTTCAGTGTAAAAATAGTTCATGGTGCCTACTTTGGATATTCATATCATACAATTGGCTAGATGGAAATTGAAGACTAATGACTTGTTTTGAAGCTGGAGTGTCCCTCTACATATTGAAGTGATTGAGAGCTTGATAGGAAGTTCAGAAGACCATTTTTGAACCTCATCAAAAGGCTATGCCAAAACTGGGAAATTGTCTGGAAATGGCTAAGTCTGGAAACGTGTTTGTGAAGCCTATTTTGGAGCTCAATTCAAGAAGCATGAATGCGAGTCGAGTCCAGGAGCCTCTACCACGTTAAATTAGGTATGTTTTTATACAAATTCAAGGCATTGGATGAAAGATTGTATATCTGTAAGGCTTCAAACAAAAGGGTCGAAGTTGCTACGAAGGCTGTTTTTCTAGCAGGCTTCGAGCACAAGCAAGCTGCCAAAAAAACAGCCTTCGTAGCAACTTCGAGCCTTTTGTTTGAAGCCTTAAAGATATTCAATCTTTCATCCAATGCCTTGCATTTGTATAAAAAAATATTTAATTTAACGTAGTAGAGGCCCCTGGACTTGACTCGCATCCATGCTTCTCAAATTGAGCTGCAAAGTAGGCTTGACAAACACGTTGCCAGACTTAGCCATTTTCAGGCAGCTTCCCAGTTTTGGCATAGCCTTTTGGTCAGGTTCAAACATGCTCTTCTGGACTTTCTATTGAGCTCCCAAGTACTTTAATGTGTAGAGGGACACTTCAGCTTCAAAACAAGCTTTAATCTCCAATTTTCATCTAGTCAATTGTAAGATATGAATCTCCAAAGTAGGCACCATGAAACTGTTTTTACACTGAAACAACAGATTAGGTCGACCTGATCCTATATGAGGTCGACCGAAAAGTGCATGTCACTGTGACATGCATGTCACCGTAGCAAATTCCTAATAATAAGACTAATCATCCATGATTATCATTATCATTCGAGTTAATACATCATTCATCATCTCTGCACCTAATATAGTGAGCTTACAACAACCCCTTAACATAAATATTAAATACATACCAATACCACTCATTAGGAAGTTAAAGCTCTCCAACAAAACACTTAAACTATACATAGTTTGAGGTGATTGTGATGGTATTGTACGTAATCCTAAAGTCTATTAGCTGTCCAAAATGTTTTGGTTTAGTAAATAGGCAGACCCATTTAATTTTTGACCTATAATGCGTTGGTTTGTTGTGCACATGGAAATAAAATAGGAAATCACGAAAGTTTGGTTTCGTTGGTTGCATAGAAGTATAAATAATTTTGTATATTAGGTGTATCATTAATTGGTTAATTGGTTTCATTGGTTACCAGTGTTGAAACCAAACCAAACCACCTAAACCAAATAAGCTAAATTGTTTAACCAAACCAAACCAAATTAACTGAATGCTACCGATTAATTTGGTTACCATGGTAACCAATCCGTTTGAACACCCCTACTTAAAATTTTACTAACACTAAAGCATATGTATCTAATGAACTTTGAGTTGTTTGGAGGTCTTTAAGTGAGCTAACATTGACGTGAGTATGAGATCCTAAACTTGAAAGATCGTACTAAACCGTATGTATCTAAAGGGTTTTGTTGCCCATGTAGAGACTGTCATTCAAAAATAGAACATTGTTTGGAATCTTTTATTCGCAATATTTATTATGTTTGGAATGTTTTATCTATGATTTAGAAGTATAATTATTATTTGTGACATTAGTGACAATTGTTTGAAATTTAGTATTCATCACATAGTCAAAGTCAGGTGTTGAGTACATTTATTGAGTGTCAGTCATTACTTTGGTGTTAAAAACGAGTATAACTTATTTGATCAAATGCATATTGCTATGTGATTTTAACTTTTTTCATTTATGTTAACAATATTTACATATTCTCTAAGTTAGTGAAATAGATGGAGACACTTAGAGAGAGAAAGAAAAGTTTAGAAAGAGTGAAAATTTGAGTATAGTGAAATAATGAGAGAAAATGGTGCTCCGTTTTGAAGGGAAAGAGAGACAAACCAACTCAAAAAGAGCAAATGGAGTTTCCCAAATTGGGGGAGTTGCTACAATACCTTTCCCCCAATATTCACCCCTTCTTAATGTAGCAAAACTCATGAACAAGGGAAAAATTATTGGTCCCTCTAATTTTCCTTAGTTTTTCCTCACCCTACATTTTGTCTCTTTGCGAGGGTAAGTAATCAAACACATTGACACTAAATGCAACATTACATATATGAAAATAATGATTGAATTATCTGTCCTGTTGTGCTCAGCCACCATGTCAGAGCTATGGGCTATTTATCATGGACTCAAACTGGCGTGGAAGCTCGGGTGTAGAACCCTCATTGTAGAATCAGACTCTCAGTTGGCCATTCAGCTTGTGAACAACAGGACAGATCCTCTCCACCCTTATGCGGCCCTCTTAGCAGCTATCAGACGAAAGATTGCTCAAGACTGGATTGTGAATCTAGTTCATGTATACCGAGAAGGGAATAGAGTCGCGGACTGGCTCTCGAAGCACAGTCTCGTCTACCCCTACGGTATGCACGAATTAGAAACACCTCCTAATGAGCTTCTCTCGTTGCTTCAAGATGATCTCAGAGGCACTACTTTTGCTAGAAGCATAGTGTCCCCTACCACCCACCCTTAATCTCCCCTCGGCTCCTTCTTCTTTCTTTGGCCTTGTGCCTCCTGTAATGCAAAAAAATCTAAGTAAAAATGATGAAATCAACACTAATTTAATTCGCCTAAAAATTCAATTTCTCTTTCATTTTTTATCGACAGTGGCACTCGCGTATGACTTATCTCAACGACTGTATAGTCGTACTGTCGAAGAACCACACAAAATTGGTTAATCTGAACTTATACGAATTCGACCAACTCAAATGCTACTAAAAATTAATTGCACAATTTGCCAAAAACAAAGATCAAACACATAATCTCGTTCAATATTTCTCCTTGTCTAGCTCTCAAATGTGTCAAATCAACAGTTTCAAACAACTTGGCTAGCTCTCGTTCAATCTTTCTCCTTGTCTCTCTATTCCATCGAAACTCTTTTGTGTGTTGCAGTAAAACTGGAGGATTACTCCAATTTCCCCTTCCACCCTCCACCATTGTGGTCTGTGGATGGTTCAATGGTGTTAAAGGATGCATGCATATCAGCTGTTGGGTTGGACTTATATGCGAAGTCTGGCTTGGTAGTTAGGCTTTCAAGCCCATAACGCAACTCGTTCTCGCATTTCAGATATTTGGGCTGCATGAATGGTCTAGGTCAGATCCATTTATTGTGGGCTCTACAACGCTACACTTCAGAGTCCAAGATGAAAAGAAGTTTTCTTAGGTTTCGTTTATATGAAACCCAATGCCCAAGCTTGCAAGCCCACAAGCCCACAACAAACTCACCATTTCACATGGCAGGGATATTTTTGTAATCACAACCCAAAGATGTGGAGAAAGAGAAAATCAAGGAGATAAGTAGAATAAGCATTTCCGCGTCAAACATGGCGCCCGAGTCCCGACCCTTCTCAATAATTCTCCACTACAGCAGCCCATAAAGAACTTTCCTCTCCTTCTTCCTCTCAAGCTCAACTCTTTTCCCATTACTTAACCAAAATATTCCCCACTCACTTTCCCCTTCCCACCATAACCAGCCACACCCTCACTCCCACGTTTCCCCAATTCGCGAACTTTTTCTGCCGCGGAAAAATCCACCACACTCTGAGTTCGAACTGTGAGGCCAGATCGAGCAATGGATTCGCCAGGCTCGAGAACCTCGTTCTCCGATCGGAGCTACGCGCTCAGCGGGAAGATCATGCTGAGCGCGATCGTCGTCCTCTTCTTCGTCGTCGTCCTCATGATCTGCCTCCACCTCTACGCCCGCTGGTACCTCCTCCGCGCGCGGCGGCGCCAGATGCGCCGCCGCAGCCGCCGCCAGAACCTCGTCTTCTACGTCGACCAGGCGGCGGCCCCCAACCCGGCGCAGTCTCGCGGGCTGGACGCCGCCGTCCTGAAATCGCTCCCGGTATTCGTCTACTCCGCCGCCGACACGGCGGCGCCGGAGTTGATGGAGTGCGCCGTATGCTTGTCGGAATTCGAGGAGAAGGAG